TCCGGTCTCACACAGTGGTCGCCCCTAGTACAGAACAACTGCCCTTCTGAGACGGACGGTGGGCGACAGCGGTGTTAACGCCGTCCCCAGCGGACACGGGCTCTGGCAACCTAAGCGTGTGACCTCCGCGGATTTCGTGGGCGCGGAGCGGTGCACGCAAGCTCATTTGCACGTGGAATTGTACACCGCACAGGACCGCTGGGCCCATTAGCAACCTCAGCAGCTGCAGGGGCGATGATACATTGCCCGAGATTACACAATGGGCAGGTCATTCATCAGTCGGTTAGTGTTTTTTTTCTTATATTTACAAGTCGCTGGAACAACACGTTATGGATTCAAAAAATAAAAACACTCCCTCTCGTCCAGCCCTCCGTGCGGTCAACTCACTGCCCCTGTTTAGATAATAATAATAAGTAATAACAATAATAATGCCAGCTTTTAACGACTCGAGAGGCGCCAGGAGGAGGAGCCACAGACAAGCGGGACGGTGAGTCGGCGCCAACAATTGCCCAAGCTCTGTGGTCCTCTAGATATATACTCAGGAGTTATTGGCCAAGGAACCCTTTCCCGTTCCGAGGCTTCTGCGAGTTGCAGGGTGGTGGGGGGGGGGGGGGGGTCCCGTTCACGCGCAGGTGGCTCGGCGTTAATTTTATACAGAGGCCTAGCGTCGTTTTTTTAAAGATGTTGCACTCACCACAGAGGACCATAGCGACACAGACCGCACTCTACGATAGCTGGCGCCAAACTGCGCCATACTCCCCTCACCCCGCATGGCCTTGTGGGAGCCTCGGTGCATCTCCCGACCTGAAGATGTACCGACACAGTGTCTTCGTCTGAATTTTTTCACTTTTTCTTCTGGTAAAGTTCTTCATCAGTTTTTTTTTCCTTCCGATTCATCGGAACGGAATAAGGGAAAAAAACCTGATGACGTACGTCATCGGAATGGGAAAGGGTTAAGGTGGTTTCAGCCAATAAATGAGCGTTTACATGTGGCAAAAAACCCACGAGGTTCAAGTCTAAATTCCCTCTTGCCCTGGTTGGCTGAGTGCCACGCTTTCTCTCTGTACGATCAACATAACCCCCGTCCCCCCCACCCCCACCCCTCCACTGCTCGTGGGCAGCATCTAGAGACGCGCTAACACCTAAAGACGCTACGTCGATCGGCCTCTGTACCACTATCGTTGCTTACCCCCAGTGTCTCTCCGCACAAGCGAGCAACAGGTGATGCTCACCTCCGTTTGGCCGCCCCTGCGCCAGTGGTGGAAATTCCGCATTCCTATGACAGGGGCCAGTCGATCCAGCGGACAAGCAACTGTTGATTTCCCGTGAAGTAGGTACTTAGTCTATCTACCCCGACGCTAGGGTTTAAGCGCGACGTGGGTTGAGCGATTTTACCACAGCACTTGGGCGACCATATCATATTCTGTATATGACCAGCGTGGTGAAGTATGGCCGAACAACTCGCAGGACCGACACGCGCATGGGGGAGAGCCTTTATTTAGCAGTCGATTGACAAAGTGCCGGAAATTATTGATGGTAAAATAAAAAAAAATTGCACGCGCAGACGGCACATGAAGTCAGCAGGAAATGACTGACATTGGCGGGTTTAATCATGACGACAGTAATTTTACGATTAGCCCTTGGCTCACGCATTGAGATGTACACGCTGGCAATTAAACACGAGCCCTTCGCTTTGTTTTCCACATAAACCCTCACTTGAAGCGGTGTGCAAAAAATTGCGTGAGCGTCGCGTTCGTGCGGTCCCCCCCACCGCCCGCAACGCGACGCTCTCACGCTCGCAGCGCCGCACTCGGTGACATCCAGCCGCACGCCCGGCACTCGGAGCGGGAGTACCGTGACCGGTAGAAGGCGGCGCAGCGGGTGGGTTTTCGTCGACCCAAATAGTTTGAGTCCGCTGCGCACGTGAGGGACGTCCGTCGCGTTTACCGCATGCGCGGCGTCGAGTCGCTCGTTCGCCCCCAGCGTTCCCAGCGTAGCGGGACCCATGCCCCCCCCCCCCCCCCCTGTAAAGGAGTCCTGATACTCCGCGAGGCTTTCCTGGGTAAATAATGGATGTTATTGGAACATTATTATTATTCATCTCTTGCCTCTCGCTTTGCCTACATTTCACCGTTCCCTTGCGGGAGAGGCATTAACATTTTTTTTTTAAACACACTTAATCTTATTAAAGTCAGATGTGCTGTTAATAATTGGTGTTTGCATACTCGACGCGTGCGCGAGCGCGGTAATTCGGCCATTAAAACCGCGAGCACGCACCATGGCACGGTAATTTTTATATATATAATATATTTCTTGACGAAACGATTGTAAAAATGAGCCGTGTTGATGCGAAACAAGGCGTTCGGAATGGCATCCGACACAAAATCCCCCTGCTTCTAATCTGACGTAAAAGGTTTAAGGGTTTAATTTGAAATGCCATGTCGCCCCCGACCAACGGGACGCATCAAAACGTTGCACGAACACGTTCTAAGATTAAATCATATAGGACGCTCAACAGAAAGCAATGAGGGAGCAAAGTCCCTTATTCCCTCCTGAACCAACCAATATTTTAAACTGGAACTATTTTTTTTATTTTACGCAGGTAAGGGCCCACTGGCCATTACAAATGATAGCTCCATGGAGTGGCTTATCACGTTGAAATTTATAGGAGCCAAATGCACTAAACGCGCGTTGATTCTAAAAGTCGACGGAAAAACCGGAGGACCCGGAGAAAAATTAACGCGACCACAAGGAGAGAGAACACTCAAACTCCAAATATACAACAGGCGTCAGGGTTGGGATGAAGCTTATGACTTTCTGTGTACCAGGCGAGGGAGTTAACATCTTGCCACCGTGGCGCGCCCGGAGACTCGGAGCGGACCGGCACCCCAGGCAGCGAGGTCTCGCTGGTGCTCGAGAAGTCCCCGACACCCGGTGGTGGCGTCGGGCGCAGAATCCGTGTCTGGGAGAGTTGAGCCCTGCTCTGGGCTCCAGTGGCACGAGGGACCAAGCGGGGCCCTAGATATATATAGGTGTAATAGGTCCAAGGCCGTGCTCGGCTTACTCGGCAAAAAATATCCACGTTGTGCCGGAGACAGAAGCTGGTGGCAGGCAGCAGCGCCGAGTCGTGGAGGGAGGGGGGGAGTCACGTGCTCGGAGGGGGAGTCACGTGCTCGGAGCGGGCTACGTGCCTCGGAACTGGAGCCGTTCCGCACTGGCCGAATCCGTGTTGTCAGTGGATAAACCGGAGTGGGTGGCACGTGACTGCAAGCCGTAGCAAGAGGAGGTATAATAGACGCGGTTGTACCGGGAGGCAGGTCGACCGGGCGCGGCGCGGCTCGACTTTACGGGCGGCGAAGGGCGCGGCTCCCGTGCCTGACCGAGCGCCGCATCTGCTGCCCCCCCCCCTCTCCGCCCCTCTGCTCCGCAGGTTCTCCCCGCTCACCATCGACAGCGTCACCAGCCTGGCCGGCGTGGCAATCCCCGGCCACACGGGCACAGGCTGGTGCATCTTCGTGTACAACCTGTCGCCCGAGGCCGACGAGGGCATCCTGTGGCAGATGTTCGGCCCGTTCGGAGCGGTGACAAACGTGAAGGTGATCCGCGACTTCGCCACCAACAAGTGCAAGGGCTTCGGATTCGTGACCATGACCAACTACGACGAGGCCGCCATGGCCATCGCCAGCCTCAACGGCTACCGACTCGGTGACCGTGTCCTCCAGGTCTCCTTCAAGACGAGCAAAGCTCACAAGGCGTAGTGCGGTGGGGTGGGTTGGGTGTGCGGGTGAGCGGGGGAGAGAGAGAGAGGGAGGGAGGGAGGGCTGGTGGGGGGGATGAGTTGTGGGGCTGTTGCGGGGTGGGAAGCCGGGCGGTGAGCGTCCCACTCCCGACTCAGATCGGACGACGCCGCGGTTGACGTGGTGGCACCGATTTGCGTGAGAGAGGATGAAACACGATTACCCTCGACTTGGTTCCGTTTTGACTTGTGGTTTTTTTTTGTTTTGGGGGGGGGGGGGGGTAGGGGTGGGGAGGGAGGGGGGGGGCGGTTTCCTTCAGGTCCTCTTTCTTTTCAAAAACGGCAAAGGTCAACCCGTCCCCAACGACCTCGAGGACATCCCGTCGCCATTAATCCGAGGTCGCTATTTATTAATTGAGTTAACTTATTTATTTATTTGTTGGCACGCCTGCTTGTTATTTATTTGCTTCCTCGCTGCGGCTTGATCTTTCATCGGGAGGGGGAGAGCCGTAGGCGCGTGGAGGCGTGCGAGCGCGGTCTTTTCTAGGCACGCGGACGACAATGCGGTTATCGTTCGGTTTTTTTCTCTTCCGAAAGTAAAATGATCTCGCAAACTGATTTTCTTTTTTTTCCAAATGAGGAGCTTGCGTGCTTATTCGTAGCAGAGAACAAAATGCAATGCTTTTTTATTTTCTTCTCGCGAGTTCACTGACTCTGCGACGATGTCACCCTGACGACATCGACAGTGTAACAGTCACGCTTGGAGATTTTTGCGCGCAAAGAACAAATGACGACAGGTAGATTTGTACGGCGCGTAAAGATATGAATGCCCTTTGTACATTGGTATTGACTTGCGTGCGGCAATTTGAAAAGGTGAATACTTTTTAAAACGAAGTAGACAAATCGCCGACTTATTATATCACCGACTTGGTAATGCGAATGAGCGTTTGTGGAATCATTTTCTATGGCTATGAAACCCAACTTGGCATCGGCTACGTGCGACGGATTAAAAAAGAAAATATTTACGAAAATAAATTATCGCGCATTGCTTTAGAGCCGTGCCGCTAAGCTGAACTCTTGTCACGAGGCGAGAGATGTTAAAGCAGGAAACAAGGGACATTTACGTAGCCTCAGCTGAAACAAAAAAAACGATGCAGTTATTATATAACGTAATATGTAATAACTTTAATCTTGAATGTGAACCTTACGTCAATTTTAAATAGATTTTATTTTTTCTCCCTAACTCTTAATTTTCGTAGTTTTTGTTGGTTCATTTGTGTTCATCACCCCCCGTGGCACCGTAGTTATTGATCTCCCTGAGCATGTGCTCCTCTCCATTCTGTTTGTGTCTCTGGCCCATGTCGTGAGGCATCAGTTGAACCCACCCTGTGCGATAATTTCAAACACCAATCCCCATTGTGCATCACCGTTGTTGTTGTTGTTGCTATTATTATTATTGTACACGTTTCCTCGTTCCGTCTTGTCACCAATGCAAAAGGGGTCTTTAATCATCAAATAAATAATTTATCGATCCGTTATTTATTATCATATTTATTGGTGTTGTTTATTAATCTATTTATTACTTATTTATTGTTACTCGGCAATTGATGTATCAACGCGCTTTGCTTTTTCACGCAAGTACTTATAGCCGGACGGCGGAGATTATAAATTGATGAGACAAAACAAGGTCGAGCCTAAATCGTCGCGTAAACATTTCAACCCTAAACCCTGGGGATGAAGAGTAGGGGGAATCTATTTACCGCGGAGGAAATACAAATAAAATCGTTAAAATCGCAACGAGCTTACTTGTAAAGATAATTACACTCGAGCCAATTACTACATCGGTAATGATAATAATGATGACGATTATGATCATAGGAATAACCAACAAACAACAATAATATTAATAATAATAAAACTACTTGCCAAAGAGAGCATTCGCGAACTTATAGGTTTCCAAAAAATGAAAAATAAAAAAGCGTCTATTTTTATAAAGAAATTTGCCGGGTGGACATTTTTACAGGCTGGGATATCATAACTATTTAGACAGACGGGGGGGGCTGGGGAGGGGGGCTTGGGGGGGCTGGGGTGGGGGGGGGGCGAGGTTCGTGGGTTAACGCAGGGGTTGGCGAGACACGCGTGTGTCGGGCTACTACAGCCAGCCCTCACCCAGGCCACGCGAATGCTCAAATTACCCCAGCGGCGACGCTGGAGGGCATTGGCGGCGGGGAGGAGGGCGGACGGGCGGGCGGGGGGGGTGGCTCAGACCCACCCGGAGCGCCGTCAAGCCTCCCTGTTCCCGCCATGCGGCGTGGGCCGTGCGACGTATTTAATTAAAAATCACTAAATAATCTACACATTATATATATCAGTGAGGGGGTGGGTGGAAACTGATGAACAATGAGTAACGACGCCCGGAGGCTGAAAGCATTTGAGCCACGATTTGGCGGGGGCTGGGGGGGGAGATTAGTGGGGTTATAAGGCAGCTGCAGAACTTAAACTCAAACTCCGCGTAGTGAACGGACCGTGGCCGCGTGTTGTTACACTCACATTGGGTATTTGCTCAGCGCGAGCGGTGTGACCCGAACGGGGTGACCCCAAGCGGTGTGTGACCCCGAGCGGTGTGTCCCCGAGCGATGTGTGACCCCTGGCGGTGTGTGACCCCGAGCGGTGTGTGACCCCGAGCGGTGTGTGACCCCTGGCGGTGTGCGACCCCGAGCGGTGTGCGACCCCTGGCGGTGTGTGACCCCGAGCGGTGTGTGACCCCGAGCGGTGTGTGACCCCGGGCGGTGTGTGACCCCTGGCGGTGTGTGACCCCGAGCGGCGTGTGACCCCGAGCGGTGTGTGACTCCTGGCGGTGTGTGACCCCGAGCGGTGTGTGACCCCTGGCGGTGTGTGACCCCGAGCGGCGTGTGACCCCGAGCGGTGTGTGACCCCTGGCGGTGTGTGACCCCGAGCGGTGTGTGACCCCGAGCGGCGTGTGACCCCGAGCGGCGTGTGACCCCGAGCGGTGTGTGACCCCTGGCGGCGTGTGACCCCGAGCGGTGTGTGACCCCGGGCGGGGTGTGACCCCTGGCGGCATGTGACCCCTGGCGTGTGTGACCCCGAGCGGTGTGTGACCCCTGGCGGTGTGTGACCCCGAGCGGCGTGTGACCCCGAGCGGCGTGTGACCCCTGGCGGCGTGTGACCCCGAGCGGTGTGTGACCCCTGGCGGCGTGTGACCCCGAGCGGCGTGTGACCCCTGGCGGCGTGTGACCCCGAGCGGTGTGTGACCCCTGGCGGTGTGTGACCCCGAGCGGCGTGTGACCCCGAGCGGTGCCCCGCGCGTGCTCGCGTGGACGCGCGGGCACGCGTAAACGTTCGCTCCATTACTCACCGAACGGTTTGCTATTTTTTTTGCGTTTTTTTTTCTCCCAGAGTTTGAAAAGTAAAACAATAATCTGTCGATCGCGCGCGCCCGACTTTCGTCCCGTCCCCCCCCCCACCGTAAAATTTTGCCTCGAAAGCCTCCTCCAAGTTACGACGTCCGGAAACCCATTCCTTCCAGAGCTATCGGAAACAAAACGTTCGAACAAAAAAAAAGAAAGGAAAGATAAACTGCCGTCGAGTGCGACACTCAACGCGTGTTGAAGGTTCTCGTAAAAAAGTGGAGCCGATGCGCCCGCATCAGCACCTGCATCTGTGCTCTCAACCGTATCTCGGCACCACAAAGTGTTTTTGCAAAAATGAAAAAAGCAATAACGCTAAAATATCAACTCCGCAGAGCGATGCACAAACACAAACCCCAACCCGCCGGCTTGCGCGCCACGCACAGGCATCTTAACGTTGTAACGTTATTAAGGATAACGACTTATTATTATTATGTTAATTGTACTTAAATATATGCACACTTGCCAAACACACAGTGATCAAAGATTCTCCGGTCAGCCACGACGGACTGTTGTGGGGCAAAAGTGCTCTTAACGGGCACATTTAAAGGCCAAACGCAAGCGCACACGCGCGCACAAAGACGCCCGCAACGCACGCAGCTACGCGCTGTCCATCTCTTCCAAACAGACACGCGGTGACACAACGCTGAGTTCCATTGGGCCTTGCGCTCGCCACCTTACGCCGTAGTGCGGGGAAGAGAACTCTCTCTCTCTCTCTAAGTGCTTCATGTGCGGCGATCGATGGTCAAAGGTGACGGGAGGCGCTGGGCAAACTTGCACATGCCATAGGTGGGCCGAGAGAGAGAGAGCGAAAGAGACAGAGAGAGAAAGATAAAGATGGAGAGAGCGAGAGAGAAAGACAGAGAGCAACAGAAAGAGGGACAGAGAGAGAGAGATGCTTCTAGGGAGATAATTTAGGTCCTTCACAACAAACACAGGCCATATCACGTGCTAGGTGAGAACAAATGTGTTTGCGCAGTGACGAGCTGCATTGTCAGGGTGTGCATATGTGCAATTGCTTTGTGTCAAAACACAATCAAAGTCATATCAGCCGGAGTGCTAAGCAGAGGCGTGTATATCACCGACATCACTCTCGTCATCCTCGTCACCACCACCATCATCGCCGCCATCATCACCATCATCAATGCCATCGTCATCGAACACTACAGAGAGGAGGAGGAGGAAAGGAGAGAAAAAAAAAGCAGTTCTGAAAAACGACAAATGGAATATAAAACGACAAAAAAAATCGCTACATTATAATGACACAACTCTGTTTGATAGTGCATATCTTGGTGTATTTTGCTGTACTCGTCTTTTCGTTGTGGCGACGTTTCGTTATGACTTCATATTTATCTCTTATCTTGCGTATCCTATTTACGAGTCAGCTTGGTTAAACTTATTATGAATCGAACGTTTGCAAGGTCATTTCCGCAGACTTAATGCAATCATTAAGATCCCCTAACCCTTGTCTCGGGCGTTTAGCGAGAGTGTGTGTGTGCGTAAACGTCTTACCTTATACAGCACGCACGATTTGTACTCAGTTAGCGAGCCAGACAAATTCCCACCGGGTGATGCAAACAAGCGAACGAACCTTTTTAAAGAAATGTGAAAGAAAAAAACAATGAACAAGTAACGATGACGATTACAACCATTCACCTGTGAATCTTTCCAGACACAATCCTGTGAACATCACACCGCGCCCAACGAGAGAGAGGCAAACGATCGCTGCCGAGGAGGGAGATTGAGTCTGGGTATCGAACCCGACGGGGCGGACGTATGGGATTGGGAAGGGGGGGAGGGGTTTAGAGAGAATAATTGATTGTACGATATGGTCCGGGGGGTAGGGCGGGGGGGGGGGCTATATAATTTTCCGCCAGGCTATTACAGGAAGCGCGCGTTTTGTTAAGACGCTCGGGCGCAACAAGCGATGGTTCCTGAATCTTCTCGCGTAATAAACACACACACACACGACGTCGCAAGCAAACAAGCCGGAGAATGGTTGGGTGAAGACAACGTCTTAATTGTAAATCCGAGCGACAAGACATTTCCAAATGACCATTAATATCACTATGTACCGCGCTAAGCTGCAAGCGGGTACGAGCGTTTCACGAAATGGTTTTCACACCACCACAAAAAACGAATTAAGCAGAAAAAAAAGGAAAAACCTACAAAAAAATACGACGATGGTGATGAAGTTAAAAATAATATTATTGTGCTTAAAAAAGAAAAACCAAGATAAATTCTTTTCTATTTTCAGACGAGTGGTCATAGATGCATAGAATTATTCTTATAAGAGGGAGCTGTCTTAAAGGACGCCTAACTTTATCCACATGCACTGAAGTTCAAAATTCTGTGGTTCGTAAAAAAGATGATTTAAGAGAAAAGAAAAAACTTTACACGAAAATTTAAAAAAAAACATAAATAAACATCGAAAAATAAAAAAGTCACTTAAAAAAAAGTTAAAAATTTTCCTGTGCTCTTCCTTGTATTAAACACCTAGAGAATCTGCGATATAACTTGCTATGCATAACAATAGCTCTTTGTAGTGAATTAGAATTGCTTTTGTCTTCTCTTTGTCGTACATTTTCTGATTGCTATTTATCAGTCCGTGTAAGTATATTTAATATTGTAACGCTGAGTTAATTGACCCGCACTCTCGCCCAACACAGCTGTGAGCCACTCAACCTCCCCCCCGCCCCGCGCGATCACACCTCCTTAGCTCGCGCATGCGTGCGTGTGCGCGCATGCGTGCGCGTGTGTGGGCATATACACACACGTGTGTATATGCCCACACACGTACCTGTACGCATACACACGTGTGTGTGTGCGCGTGTCACACACGTACCTGTAAGCATACACGTGTGTGCGCGTGTCACACACGTACCTGTAAGCATACACGTGTGTGTGTGTGCGCGTGTCACACACGTGTGTGTGTGCGCGTGTCACACACGTGTGTGTGTGTGCGCGTGTTACACACGTGTGTGTGTGTGTGCGCGTGTCACACAGGTGTGTGTGTGTGCGCGTGTCACACACGTGTGTGTGCGCGCGCGTGTCACACACGTACTTGTACGAATACACGTGCACCGCCGCTGATTAAAATCCTTTTTGGCTACAATATCGATCCGCGGGTGGCTACGTATTTCGCAGCCGGTGGCGGATAAATCGGTTTAGTTTGGTGGCGGAGGCTTGCCGGGTAACTTTCCTCGGCACGCTGAGCGCCAATATCGCGGCTTTGACGCGGATAGATGGGCGAACGGCGGCCGCGCGTCGCTGACGACACCTGGTCAAGTGGAAGCCGCGCGCCAATCCCAATCGTCGGCTCGTTCACAAAAGCAAAAAAAACAAACGCTACTGGAAAACGATAATCAGCGACGAGGCA